ACATCCCCAGAGTCTAATAAGTTTTTCTTTATTTTTAGATTTGTGCTCATTGATCTTCACTCTGTATGTAAAATCTTTGTATTGTGTTCCCAACAAATGTTTCCTTGTTTAATTCCCATCTTCATAGATTTCAATTTCTTCTCATTTTCATGGCTCTTAACTTTCTTCTGAGGAAATTTTTTTATTAACAGTGTTTTTTTATCATAAATTGCACAGTCATTTGTGTTTTCCATTTCAATAGTTCACGAATGCACATAGGCTAAGAGATTGTACAGTCCAGATTTCCAAGGCATATTTTTTATGAATGTAAATGAAACACACTGTGCTTTCTTCCTGAGAGGCATATCATCAGCTGAATCATGAAACAATATTCTACTTCTCTGTGGATGCATTGAAGGTTGTCTTCTTTTCCTGAGATCCATTTTTCCACTGATATGAATATTGAACTTTGAATGTTTTTCATGTTTATTATGCAAAATTCTTGCTTGTTCACAAATATTGAGTGTTTGTAGGCTTTTTTGTTTATCTATAATTGTTGAACAAATCAAAGGTGTGTTTAGTTTGTTTCTTTTTTGGTATTGGAAATTGAACTGAGGACCTCGCACATATTAGCCAGGTGCTTATACCAGTGCGATATATCCCTGGTACAAAGGTGTGATTTTAAATGACTGAATTAATATTAGTTTTCATTTGGTGAGGGAGTGTGATGAATGGACTCACTTTGTAGTCTGAACTGGTTTTATTGCATAGCCCAGGTTGGACAGTGTATACATCGCATTCCTGAAATTCCTGGTAATCCCTTACATCTGCCTGTCAGTACTTGGGAGAACAGACATGTATTACCCAACTGGGCTGAACTCTTCCTTCTGTATTTAGTGACCAGTTACTTTGCTATACCACCATTTTCAATTCATTTCAAGCATTTAATGTATATTCTTTCCCAAATTATCTTGCTTTACACCCTAGTAGAGTTTCTAGTATTCAAGTACAAGGAGATAGCTTGGTATTTCAGAGCTACAGGATTATAGCTACCCTTTCCATAATTTCCTTGTCTATAGAATGATCAAATAAACCTTTATTTTCATAAATTTTAATAATTTATAAACTTCCTTTGATATTCAACTAAATATTTATCTATGAAACCAGATTTTAAAAAAATAATTTTATTTTAAAGAGGGTAAAATTAAACATAACAAAACAGATAATAAGAAAACAATTTTAAGACACAAATTTCAAAGCAAGACCACCAGAGATCTTCACTATCATATTGTCTCTTGTTTCTTCCAAATAGTTGTCCATATCTTCACACACAATGAATACATACTGAACAGTATAGTACTAAGCTGATCAGAACAGGATGATGAAGACATTGTACATCTTCAAGACCATACAATAGGGGAGTCAACAATGGCTATCATAATGATTCTCATTTTCTTTGAAAGAGCTGTCCATATCTTTATGTATGTTGAAATTAGAAAAAAGTAAATAGACTAATATCACTCTGAACAGAGAATAATAGTATTGCTAGATTTTATATCATAACGCTACAGAATTAGCAGTGGGTACCTTAGTGTCTCTTCTTCTTCAGATTATCTGTTCATTATAACATGCATTATATAATCTCTTCTCATAAACTGTTTAAAAGTTCTAAACATGCATGTATCTCTCATGTATACCTATCCTTTCTGTATTACAGGGAAAAACAGATCAAACCAAGACAACAAAACAAATTCCTAGAAAAACATGAAATAAAAAAGACATATAAAACCACAATGCCAGGTGATCTAAAGTAGCTACTATGCAGTCTCTTCTTATTTTCAATAGAGTTGTCTATGTCATCATTATATAATTGAACATAGCACTACATAGCAATATAAATAAAAACACAACATTGGAGACATTGTAGGACATCAAAAGCAGTTAATAATCCAACCAGAATGGGTATGCTATTATATCTTGTCATCTTCAGAGTAGTTGCCTCTACAATTAGACTTGATACTATCAAGCATACCAACCTCAAATAAAACCAATCAAGACATAACAGTGATCTGACAAACCAGATTCAAATAAAATCAGTCATAGTAAGACAATGTAATAATACAGACCTTCAGTTTAAGTTAATAGGAAATTAAGGATAGTTACCATAGTATATCCTGCTATTTTGGAGATAGCTGTCTGTGCCCTCAAATGTAGTATAAGTAGACAGACTGGAACCGAATAAAATCAAACTAAACAGAGGGTTGAGACTAATGTGTCTTTTAAATCCTGATATACTATTAACAATGTCCTCTGCCTTTCTTTTTTAGACAGTTCCTCTCATTTCCCTTTCTCAGGGTACTTTGTACATTTTGGATCCCACTAACTCCTTTAGTTTTTAGATTGGGGGGGCAACCCATCATGTTCCTAAGTGATACTCAACCTTTTTTTTTCCGAGCTTGATCTTGAGCTGTATTCCTTTACCTACTAAGGCTTCAAAGTTTTCCTTCCTTATAGTTGAGTAGTTCTCCACTGCACAAAAGGGTCATGACTTTCCAACCTATCTGTTGCTGCTGGACAAGCTATCCCTATTTCTCTCTGGTTCCTGTCACATGGAGCATCATTTTCTCATCTTTGACTTTCTGTTTATTAACCCTCTTTCACATTGAGTATGTTTCTTCTTTTGAGCATTTCAATGGACATTTTCTCCTGTTCTACTTTGCCTGTTTCTTTTTGTTAGTGTATCAAAGCCATCTATGTTAGAGACTATAGCCAACCTTCTCTGCCTTACTTCTGATATGCTATTTTTCTGCTGTTGATTGTCTACCTTTCTCCTTCATTCCACTGTCTGCCCCATTCACTGAGGGCTCTATGTCACTATTGCTGGAATCCTGGTACTTTTTTCTCTCTCTAGAATGTCCTTCAGTATTTTTTGTAGGGTTGGATTGGTGGTCACAAACTCCCACAGTTCCTCTTTGTCATGGAAACATCTTGTTTCTCCATTAATTTTGAGAGACAGTTCCGCAGGGTACATCAATCTGAGTTGGAGGTTATTTTCTTTCAGGGCTTGGAATAATTTGCTCCAAGCACCTCTTGATTTGATAGTTTGTGTCCAGAAGTCTATCATGATTTTGATGAATTTTACTTTATAGGTGATCTGTTTCTTTTCTCTGCCCACTTTTAATATTCTTTTCTTGTGATGAATTTCTGGGATCTTGATTATTATATGTCTGGGTGTAGATCTGTTTTGGTTGTAGCTGGCTGGAGTTCTGTATACCTTATTTATTTGAATATCATTTACTTTTCCTATGGTTGAGGAGTTTTCCTTAACTATTTCTGTGAATAGTCTTTGTAATTCATTTGTATTTGTTTCTGCTTCTTTGCTCACATTTTTTATTCTTAAGTTATAGATTCTCTCGTCATCTTCTAGCATTTGTATTGTTACTTCCTGGTTGCTTGTTATTTTTAAGAGATGTGTTGTTTCACAGTGACATGTTGCACATTGATCTTCAAGTTTTGAAAGTCTAATATTTTTTTTCTGTCAAGGAATTTTGCCAGCTTTTAATGGAGTTTTCATTTTCCTGGTAATCTCTTTGGATCTGTTTTATTCTAGATTTTGTTTATAGGCTTCATCAAAGGTTTTTCTTCTTTTTCTGGGTTCCTCCATTCTTCCATTTGGGTCTTCCTGAGAGTTGCTTAGCATTTCTTTTGTTAATCTTTTTATATCTTTCCTTACTTGAATTAGAATTTCAGTTTTAAGTTTGTCTATGAGTCACGGTTGTATTTCTTTATTGCTGCTGAAGCTGTGTCTGATATTGCATGACTGCTGCCCCTGATCTCTTCTGTATTTACCTGTCCTGGACTTATTTTCCATAGGTCGGTGGCTGGAGGCTTTTTCTTGATTCTTTCTCTTGTCATGTTTCTGGTTTCTTTTGGACAGATGTATGGTGGAGTTCTCAGGCCCTTTCTCTATTGCTTATTGTTTTTCTGAAACATGCTGTCTACAGCATTGCTGCCCTCTCCAGTTTACATTGATATGAGGTGTGCACAATGTGGGCTGGCCCCTCTCCTGTGCCAGTCAACTGGCTTTTAGCACAGTAGTCTGTGCCGTTCAGAAGTCACAGGTTCAGGACAGTTTGTTCCCTGGATGTTGGATCCCAAGCAGATCCCACCAGTCCTCTTTGGGCCAGAGGGGCTGACTGATGCCACTGCAGTTTGGGGTTCAGTCCCATCCTGCCCACCTCCAATATGTAGTCCAACCAGTCATGCCCTGCCTCCATGGAACCCAATTCCTAGCACTCACCGTGGATTAATGCAGCTTCCCACATTGGTTCTGCTCTCTGTTGCACCATATCCTCCTGCCAAGGACTGTAGGCTCACCAACTCCCAATTTTGGTGGCCATGACTTCAGCACTACCATGAATCCTCTGAGTCCAAGGTACACCCAGCACAGCATGGGACTGGCCTAGTGAGAGTTTCTGGTTCCAGCCTTTCCACATTTTTCCTTCTTTTCTTAATTTTTTTTTTCTTTTTCTTTTCCCTCAGTTTCTTCCTGGGTCATGAGAATCTGTCTCCTTTCATCTGGTCTTCTCCATGGTGTTAAATTCCATCATCTGAGTTATTTTCTCAGAGAGGCTCTCTACCCTGCTGCCTATCAAGCTGATGTCTTCAGCAAGACTATAAATTCTTTCTAGAAATAAAGATGAACTCAGTGCTATGAATAAACAGGTGTTTTGAGAATGGTGGTTTGCAGGCTGCCTCTTTGAGCTCTGCTTTAAAGTCAGTGAAAAACTATAGTATAGGTGCCCTGCAAGACAATCCATGCCACAGTTCTATGATTACTTTGGCAACATGTTATAGTCTCACATCAGTGTTCTTGGGTGACTATATTTGAATGTACTTGAGTTTTGATAGTCATGATATGCAGTCAATACTTGAAAGAATGACCTTCAGTTAGACATTTTATTTGAGGAGCTGAGATATATTTGTTGTTTCTAATCTTCGGGACACTTGTCATTATTTAGGAGCCAGTGACCTTTGAGGATGTAGCTGTGAATTTCACCCCAGAAGAGTGGGATTTACTGACTCCATCCCAAAAGAAACTCTACAGAGATGTGATGTGGGAAACATATATGAATATTACTATGACACGTAAGGACGATATGTTTTATTCACTTGTTTATACAAACAGCATTAATTATTGCTCAGTGATATAGTATAATATATTTGATAATTATAATATTGGCTTACTTATCTCAGGCCCGATTATATTGTACTATGAGTATAACCAGAAACAGTGTTGTTTTTATGTAATGTTATAATGAATTTTTTATTTCTATGTCTGTAATACAGGAAAAATATTGCATAACCTGCAAATTAAAGAAGAGGACAAAAATTGTTCAAGAAATTTAAGGTGATTGACACACATAAAGGGAAAGGGAACATTTATTAAGTGTCAGTTTTTGAATATAACTATTGCATCAAAAGAACTCGAAGAAATGAGATTATGTTCCATTTCATTTAACCTCAGAAGAATATCAAGTGATACACTTGATTTTATTTTCTATTATCTGTGAATTCATAGAAAACTATTGGAATATTGGATTCAGAAGTAGTGCTGATACCATGTAAAAAATAACCCTATCTAATACATCAGTTTTAAAACTGCCTTCATGATCAGCATCATGGAAATGTATGAGAGTAAATTTAAATATTGTATTACAACATGTAGGAAATGAAAAAAATTGAGAATTTTGATAGAAACTCATCTTCAAAATATCATTTGTATATATGTGAAAACAGATTTTCTTTATCAAAAAATTTTTCATATGCAATCAGTACTCAAAATGGAAATGAATGCTACTGTTCATAATAAGTACTTTGAAAATATCCTATAGAATGTTGAGCTTTTCATGTTTAAAATTCCTCATACATTTTTGATGGATACATGAAACAGAAACGTGGTAATAAATATTCAGAGGTCTAAAAAGTAAAATAATTTATATTGTTTCACATATACACCCTTCAAAATATATTGTTTTTTCCTTTGGGGCCATGATTTTATACTGTAGTTCAGGTTGACTTTGAACTTACTGTGTAGCCCATACTGGCCTGAAACACAGAGGTAACCTTCTGCCTCTATCTCGTGACTACTGAGTGAGTTGTTCTGTGTCATTATGTGCAATGATTCTTTCAGTTTATTGTCAAATACATTAAAATTACCAAATGTTAATGATCCACACAGTGTGTTGTTCAATGCAGCACATGAAAGGGCATCTACCATGTCTAATACAAGAATCAACTCACACTAGCTAAGCTATGGGAATAGCTCTGATACCCATCACTCGCCAAAGTAAAGAAAATGTGGAGTCAGATCATCATGGTGGTGCATCCTTGCAATTCTTGCACTCTGGGAGGCTGAATCAGCAGAATGACAGCTGATGCTCAGCCTGAGCAGGTTCAGGCTCAATAAGAATCTCTCTCTCTCTCAAAAAAAATAATGATCAGCAAATTTAATTTAGTCTAAGACCTGTGTTTAACTCGACACTGAAAAAAATGTGCTATACCAGAAATTGTGATATCATTTCTCAAGAAACAAAAAGAGTTGGAGCTAAAATGAAAGAAATCAGATACAGAAATGTAACTATTACAGGTTTCCTCTTAAATGGGAAACTAATAGCATATTTGAGGAGAAAAAGTAAAGAGAGAAAACATGAGACCAGAATCCCTTACTTTCGATAGATGAGAAAGATGATCAGGTTCAATAGATTGATGAGGAGAATGAAGACATGAGCACTTAAAAAAAATTATCAATATTTGGTAGTCATTTGTACCAATTCTAAAATGATGTCATGTATTAGAATCATATACCAATCTAAAATTCTCAAATGAAAACCATCCTCTTTAGAGTGAATAGTACTTTGAAAGAAGTACTGCAGCACAATGAGTTAGTTAACCAGCAGAATTACTTAGCAGACATCAAACCAGACTAGTCATCATAAACCTCAACTGTTAATGAGGAGCACTTTCCATTGTGATTGATATCTTTGTATTTCTTTACAGAAGTGATGAAGATAATTATTTGAGAATTGAAGATCAGCAATATAAATGTATTGAAGTTGTAGAGACCTGCAGTGATTTCCAGTCCTGTCAGAAGCAATGTGGGAAAGCATACAGTACCCTCAGTAACTGTCAAAGACATAAAAACATTCACAATGGGGAGAAGCCCTGTGTATGCAACAAATGTGGGAAAGCATTCACCACAGCCTCTAAATGTAAAGCACATGATAAAACTCACACTGGGGATAAACACTTTGTATGTAAGCAATGTGGGAAATCTTTCACCCGAAAGTATAACCTTATTATACATGAAAGAATTCACACAGGGGAGAAACCCCACACATGTAAGAAATGTGGGAAAACATTCACCACAGCCTCTCAGTGTAAAGCACATGATAGAACTCACACTGGGGAGAAATCCTTTGTATGCAACAAATGTGGGAAGGCTTTCAGTACAGTGGCTGGTTGTAAATTACATAATAGAATTCACTCTGGGGGGAAACCATATGTATGTAAACAATGTGGGAAATCTTTCATTCAAAATGATACCCTTATCATACATGAAAAAATTCATACTAGGGAGAAACGCTTTGTATGTAACCAATATTTAAAATGTTTCAATCAAAATGTTATCATTATTATTCATGAAAGTACTCACTGGGTAGAACCTCTATGGATACAACCAATATGGCAAAGCCTTCAGTATGCAGAGGTGCTAAAATAAACCCTGTCTAGGTAAGCAATTTTAGATGTCCTTAAGCTATAGTATTAGCTTTTGTGTATATAAAAGAATTTGCTCTGTAGCAAAACCCTACCTAAATTGAAATGAGTAAGTGGATTTGTTGATAAATTCACAGTTCATGAAAGATCTCACACTGGGGAAAAAACCTATGAACATAAGGAATGTAGGAAAACTTTCCACAACTGGAGAGATTGTAACTACATGGAATAACTCCCTCTGTGGAGTAATTCTATGCATTTCAACAGTGGTTGACAGCATTTAGTGCACAAAAATGCCATCAAATAGGGGAATAATGCACACAAAGAAGATATCCTATGTAAGTAGGCAGTGTGGAAAAGATATGCTGCAGTTCTTCCCTTTTCCAAACATAAGATTCCTTCACACTAGGGAGTAAACTACACATAAATACTTGGAAAAAGTACAGCTGACAGGTGCTAACTTGAGTGATGTCATATTGTGACCCAAGCCTATGTATGCCTTCAGTATACATGGTTGGGAAAGCATGTAGTATACATGGTTATTGTCAAAGGTGAAAATAATCATAATTAAATGAATCATATAGAGGAGACCTGTAAATATAAAGTTATTGCTGTTAATATGTTCATAGATTTTTTGAAAACACCCTCAAGCACAATTATCCAAAAAGGTTTTACTTTTTTAAAAATCACAAGTAAATATCTGATCTGTTTGTCTGCAGTCTTAATAAAAGTAGTGTTTAAAGGTAAGTATGCTGAGTCCTTTTTCCCATGTTTTTGATCCACCCATGTTTTATCTTGTATGATGCTCAATTATCTAATAACCATTTTTCCCACCAGAATCTGTAACTCTTGTGTCAGTTTACCCAGAATGATGGATACATTCATATTCAAAAACGTGCTTGTATTCATGGCCTGTATCTATGTAGCCATGCTTATGGTAAGATATACTATCACAAAAGCTAAAGCAGGCTCTGTCACTGTTAGAAATAAGAATGAACTTAAATTGGTGAGAAATTTTATATATGCATTAAATGTGTAAAAATGTTCAGTACACAAACAGGTTCTAAAATACATGATACAACCCTCAATAGTGAAAAACTTTATGTAGGCAAACAATGGAAAATTGTTCAGTCAGTATTGTAACCTTGCCCATAAAATTATTTCACACTTGGGAGAAACCTTATATAAGATATGATGAAGGCTCTGCTGATAACCCACATTTTCTAAAAATAGATGATCCCACACATAGAGAAACCTTATGTATGTAAGCAATGTGGAAATCTAGCAGCCAAACCCATAGCTTGCAAATGCATCAAGGAATTCACAATGGGTGGAAACTCTGTAGATAAGCAATGTGGGAAAACATTCAGTTCACCTAGTGACAAACACATGAAAGAACCCACAATAGGGAAAATTATATGCATATAAGCAATGCAGCAAATGATTCCACCACCAGTGCTTGTAATGCCATGAAAGAATTCACACAAGGAAGTAACCCTATTCTTTCCAACAATGGAGAAAAGCATTCAGAGCAAAATATTGTCATCTATTAAGGAAATAATGCACACAAGGGAGAAACCCCATGAAAGTAGTCAGTGTGGGAAACTGTTCTCACAAATTTTTCATATTACAAATGCTAAATTTCCCACACACTGGGGAGTAACTTTGTGAAAAAGATGTATTGAGAAAAAGTTTCTGCTGACAGAAATGCGAGCCTCCTAAGTGAGGTCATTTTGTGGCCAATGTCTATGTGTACCACATGAGAAAGCACTCGGTGTACTTGCATATGGTCAAATACATGAAAGTCGGCACTATGAAGAGAAATTATATATGTGTAAGTGACTATTTTGAAAATACTTTTCAAATTATTCGTGTAGTCAAAACCTGTAGAGATACCATAAAAAATAATGTCAATATATATTCATAGATTTTCCAGCAATCACACTTGAAGTTAAAGATATCCTAAAGCATATTCATTTTGTGTTTTGATGTCAGACATAACTAGCTGACCTGTTTGTCCATAGTCTTCCTATTAAAAAAATCATACTTTTTAAAGATAATTCACAGATTTTGAAGGATTTTCCAAACCTTTTTTATCCATGGGTATCATCTTGATAGATGACATCTATTTTTCTCACAAATAACCTTTTCACTTCCATAGACCTCCAGTTATTTTCATGAAGGATCTGCACAAACATAGTCAGAACGGTCCTTCACCAGGTTGTGAGAAATGGATTTATATATGTATGCTTATGATAATCACAAAAGCAAAAGCAAATTTAAAATATGTAAATTGCATTCATGCCTGTTTCTAGTATATAATTTAAGTGTTCATCTTTGGAAGGCATCGGTGTGTATAATACATCTTGAGTTTGTTATTGTGCCTTAACATCCCCTATTTACGTCTCTGCTCTGTTTCTTGCTCCTCTCCATTTTTGAAAGAGGTATGCTCCTACTGCCTATTACACATCATGTATTTTATACAAATTTAAACCCCATCCCTCTTATATGAAGCCAGTCATTTATGAATAGCAGAATCCTGAATATGCAAGTGAATCAGGATGTCACACAAGTTCCTAGGGTTAAAAGGAAAATTCAGGGAATATGATTCCCAGAATAGGAAGAGTAAGTGATGGAAATGATGTCACATCATGACACCAGAAAGACAGTCACCAGTATGCAATAAATAAGGTGATAATCACAAGTATGTGAATTAAATGTATGAGAATTGTAGAATTAGATTTTTTTTTTTTTTTTTTTTTTGGTCTGAAACTGTCTTGCCGTGAAGTGATCTTGGGCTCACTTTGTAGGCAGGGCTGACTTTAGGCTCACTCTGTAGTTCAGGCTGATCTTGAACTTGCCACAATCCTCCTGCCTTAACTAACCTTTCAAGTCCTGTGGTTACTGACATGCACTACCCTGCCTAGGTTGTAGTGTTAGATTTATCTAGCAAAAATTTCATGGAGGGATGACAATACACCACTTTTGCCCCTCACTGTCCAGTCTTTGGGGCATGGCACAGATTAAACTCTCATAGTCTCCTTTTAAGTGCATGTTCCACAGTGGTGTTTTAGCAGTATTTTAAGATATTAAAATAAAATTCAGAAATGAAAGGTAACAAAGTCTGAATCATGTTCCAATTTCAATAGCATAAATAAATCTCATGTCACTTGGATCCATCATGGATCTCATTTTCCTTCATCAGGGAGCTATCACTGTGATGTTCACAACCTGACAATGTTAAGTGCAAGGCAGGATGAAATACGAAGAGAAAGACAACACATTCTCAGCATTCTGATTACACCATAGATATTATGCAAATTTCTGTATTTAGTATCATTGTACTTGTTTTTTCATATACATTTTTCAATATATGCCAATATAACTCTCCCTATTGCAAATATACTTTGAGGCAGTTGTTATTTCTGCACATTCAATCTTGAGGTTAAATATTGCCAACACTTTACTACAATGTAGTTCCTATATTTATTACCTTATTTTATGTTTTATCATGTTTTAAATAAAGTGGTTCAGACATAGCAAAGTGGTGATTTCATATGATTTAAGCTATCTGGGGATCTGAGGCAAGAGGATTTCAGCTTTGAGCTCAGCTTAGTAACTTGGAAACACAGTGAAAACCTGCCTGCAAATAAAAAATAGTGCTGGGGAGATAGATCAGTATAAATGTCCTGGATTTCAGTATCAGCCCTATAAATTTAAAATAGGCCCTGGTGGCTGATAAGGCAGTAAAACCACTGGCCTCATATCACACTCTGAGTAGACCTGGCCTGTCTTCACCATCACCCCTAGGAGTTTAGAAGTCATTTCCATAGTACATAGTCTCAAATCACCAGAATACAGTTTCCATCCTACTTACTGCCTGTACGAGTAAACTTGCAAAAAATACAGTTATTCCATCCCTGCTAAAGACAATAGCAACCTCATTTTAAGTTCAGTAATGCCCTTGTGGACCATTTCAGTAGCCCATATGTAATCCAAGAATGGCACTCTTCACTTTGCTAAACAGTACAGATTTTGGATCGCTTTCCCTTTCCCTTCAGTCTCAAATATTTGGTCTTTCATCACCAGCTTGGGTGATGCAGGAAGGTTGTATGCATTGTCAACTGGAAAGAGGCACAGGGAGATCAGGACAATTCATTATGTGGAGACTTCATTTATATTTTTGCCACCATGTTTTGGACCCAGGGTCACCTGCTGATGAAAGGCCTAGAATTTGAGCTTGGGTGCTGGATGACTTCCTCAGAGAGCAGGAATAAAATATGGAAGCAAGCATCCTATAGGCTATAATTGTAAGTGTGGGGCCAGGGGTTCTGAGCTGGATAAAGATTGACTAGTTGTTATCTGATGAAGTTGGAATCTCCCCACAAAATCTGTAAAGTTGTGATCTGACCTCTGTACTCACTTCAACCTGATCCCTTCAGGTGTGTGCCATGAGGCCTGACTGGCATTGAGGACCACAGTGCCCTGTCCTTTTCCTGCTTCTCAACTTCAGCCTTATGCAAAATGGCACCCATTCAGCAAATTCTCCTGCAATTCTGTGTCTTGACATTCTTTATGGTGACTTCATTAGTGCAGGTAGAGTCTACAGGCTCATTTGCAGTTTCTACAAAGAAAAGTATTTTTTTCCTCGTACCCAGTCCCTCTTTTGTCCTCATCCCCAGTCCTGATTGCTCTGCACTTACTGAATATTTTGGAAACAAAATGTCAAGCTCATGACCTGAATACACAACCAAGCATTTATAAGGTAGGAATTAAATTTCCATTTTCCAGATCATTTCCACATGGACATACACAACATATGTGACTGGGTTTCCAGAAAATATGGAGGTTGTTCCCATCTCTGACTTAATCTGTGCCATAGAGTCCTTTTGAAATTTTTTTCACAAATGTCAATCCTGACTCAGGTAGAACATGATTCAGTGGAAATAATACAGAAATTTGGGATAAACTGAATGTGTACAGTACCAGCATCTCAATCATAGGCAGAAATAAGCACACACACACAAAATGAGAATAGTGTAGGACATAGGGGATGATGGAGCATGGCAATGTCAACTCCGAGACCAAGGAAGGTCCTCCCAACATCAGCCTGACCTACGGTGAAAATAAAGCCTGAGTCTTGACCTGACTCAGGATGACAGGAAATCAAAGACCATAGACCTGAAGATCAATGGATATTTAGGGGTAATCTGTTTATATGAATCTTCCAATCATTTTATTTACAAACAATGGAATTTTGGCAAAGAATCTGGCTGTAGTGAACCTGGATACATGTGTGTGTGTGTGCACGTGCGTGCGTGCATGAGAGAGAGAGCCAGCGAGAGAGAGAGAGAGTTTGTGTTCATATAATTCTAGTGTGGAAAGAGTTCTTTTTCCCTGGCCTGTTTCTCTTAACCTAAAACTGGAGTTTTTAATCTTTTCTAGATAAATAGTGCATGACAATATTATAATTAATACAACTTTCCACATACATAGAATCTGAAAATGATTTTATAAGTTCATGTAAATTACACAGAATATTGGATTACACTTCGTTGTACCATAGCCTGCATATAATATACATTGGTTTTTATGAAAGCTACATTATTATTTATTTTACAGTGGAGATATATTTAATATTCACATTCATCACAGGTAAATTGTACCTGTACATGATATACCCTGATTCCTATTTTGTCATTCCCCTTTTGATCTCTACAGTCCCTCTTTCCTTTCTTATTTTCAATGATTTTTTCTGCTTTTTCTCTTTTCTAATTTTTCCCTTCTTTCCTTTAACACTCCCTTTCCCTATTTCTCCTTTATTTTTGAACAAATGCTTTCTATTTCATTATATATGTTTTGCATTTGCTTTCTGTTTACAATTTAAAATCTTCTCAACAATGAGACAATGTAATCTTTATACAAGTTTTTGTCATTTATTACACTGGAGATTGTGAGAGTCCATCATTTTACGTTTTAATGTCCAAAGTGTATTCATAATAGCTAAGATTTTACCACTGTATAAAATAATAATGTCTTTTTTTATATCTTCATTAGTTGACGGGTATTTGGAATGTTCCCTAGATTTAGGCATTACAGAATGTTGTCTTATAAACATGGGTACACATACATCACTGTGGTAAAATGCATTAAATTATTTTGGGAAGATAGCTTGTGGGAGAACAGTTGTAACACATGGGCATTGTAGTACCAGAATTATTTTAGGAATGTCTGCATTGCTTTCCTAAGGGCCACGTCTGTTTACACTTCTATCCACAGTAAAGAAGTGTTTATTTTTTCCCAGATTCTTCTTAGGAATTTTTATTGGTTGTGTTCTTGATTATTTCCCTTTTTAGTAGTGAAATGGAATCTCAGAGTTGTTTTAATTTGCATCTCTCAAAAGACAAATACATGAGGCTTTTCTGAATATATTTATTTATCCTTTGTACTTCATCATATGAGAAGAAAGTATTCATCTCAGATGCCCAGTTTTGGATTCAATCTTTAAATTAGGAGGTTCTAATTTTCTCCAATTTTTTATATGTTCCAGATATTAGTCCTTTGTCTGAAAATAAACAGCCAAAATTATTTTCCCATCCAATAGGTTTAGTTTTCACTCTGTGAGCAATTTATTTTGTTGAACAAAAGCTTTTTAATAAATGAGATCCCATCTGTTGATTTTCTGTGGTATTTCTGTGTGTTTTGGGTTCTTCTCATAAAGACTGCCTACACTAGGTGCTCAACTGTTGTCCCTATCTGCTCCCCCAAATGATTTTGTGTTTCTCTTTTCATAATTAGATGTTTTAAAAATTTAGATATTTGATCCATTTGTATTTTCATTTAGTGCATGGTGAGATACGTGGGCCTGCTTTATTGTTTGGTATGTGGAAATACAGATTTTCCAGTACTGTTTATTACACAGGCTACCTTTCTTCCAGAGAATATATTTATCTCCTTTGTAAAACATCAGGAGCTTGTCAGTTATTGGAGTATTTCTGCATCTTCTAATCTATTTTTTTTCCAGTAGCTAATGTTTTTATCATTGTAGCTCTGTATTATAGTTGAAAGTCAGAGATTGTAATGCACCTTGCCTCATATTTGGTACCTGGTATTATTTTTGCTATTCTAGATCCTTTCTGTTCCAAATGTATGAACATTAGCAATCTTTTCTCTGTATTTGGATGGTATAATAATTGTACTATGATGGAACTGCATTATATCCCTGTAAAATTTTAGGAAATAAGACCATTTTAATTATGTTGTTTCTTTTTACACATGAGCAAGGAATATCTTTTCATTTTCTGATATCCTCTTAGAATTCCTTCTTCAGAGTGTAGTTTTTAGTGTAGAACTCTTTTGCCTCCTTTTGTTACACTGATTCTTAAGTATTTCAATTTTTCATGTTTTATAAGGGGGATTTTTTTCACTTATTCCTCTCAGTGAGTTTGTTATTTTTGTTTAAGAACACTACTGGGTTTTTAGGGTTTACTTTGCATCCAGATGTGTAACTGAATTTTTTCTTATGTCTAGAATTCCTTTGTTGGAAGGATTAAGGTATTATAGATACAGCACCATTTCCAGCATAGTATCATGTCATCAGCAAATAATGATAATTTAACTTTTTTTTTCAGTTTTTTTCTTTGCGTTATTTGTTTCTCTTTCACATTCTCTTATCTTCCTGATTGCTTTAATTTATTGTAATTCACTTACTCTGGCTCCTTTTTCCAGAAGTACATTTAATAGAATTGATGATAATGCATACCTTTGCCTTGTTTCAGATTTCTGAGTGAGAGTTTTCAGTTTTGGGCCAATTAGATGGATGTTTGCTATTGGTGGTCATAGCTGGATTACTCAAACTAAGATAAGACCATCTTTTCCAAATTTGCAAGAAAATTATCACAAATGTGTGTTGTTCTTTGGGAAATGGTTTTTGTGTATCTATTGAGATGAATGTGTGATCTTTTTCTAAATTTCTATTGATATATATTGAATATACTATAGTGTGATTACATAGATCCTGCCATTTATACTCTTTTATTCCCTGGTGTTCAGTTTGATCTCCAATTGTCTTTTACTGAACTTGATCTTTAAACAAGTTCACATGCCTTACATCTGGAAGGCATGGAGATTCAGTGAGTCCTTTCAAAACGGGAGAATTTTGAGAATATGTAAATAGGAGGTACAGAAAGTGTTCACTAGGCTAAAATTTTAGTATATATTGAAGGGTTGAGTGTGGACCATCAAGAGTGTGAGCTGGACTGAAGTTGGGAAACATTACGTATTTTTGGTAATATGAATCTGAAATTTGACCATCTACAGTCTCATTCTCATAGGTGAGTAGAATGGCCCAAGTATAATATGATAATGAAGGGTTCAATGAAGAAAACCTATTCCATACATAAGCGGTGATCTCTTTACGGGTGAAAAGTCCATTTGCTGCTAGGAAATGGAAAGCTAAACAATCTTCTATATAAATGGTAATTTTCCCTGCTTTTCTGCAACTTGAATGGAGAAAAAACTTAAAATGGGT